GGTTGGTCAGCAGATCTCGCCCCCCATGCAAAATTTCGTGCCGCCGCCTCTGAGAAGTATCCAGAATATCTACACACAAATTGGTGACGTCACAAAATACATAACCTTCAATCGGGGTCGTTTGTTCGGTAATACGAATTGGCATATACAAATAAAGATACTTGAGACATTACCAATAAGGTGCAACAAATCACATAACAATATAATGATAATACCGTAACGGTAATACGAGTAAATCCTAAATCCTAAACGTCAATCAAATAAACTAAAACACATCATACCATATAAAAGTAAACAAAAATTGTCAGGAAAGAATAATAAACCTTACAAAGCGCCACCACACAAAGCTAAATTTAAATAAATAATAAAACAAGGCCAGACTTGTTTTATACTTTGTTTCTCGAGTTTTTATAAGGCAATTTTTCTGAGGAGGGCGGAAAAAAATAAAATTATTTTTTTTCCATTAGATTTGTGTGATTCTCAAAGAATTGTAAGTGGGATCATTGATCGGAGAGAAGAAATGAAATAAAATTTTATTCTATGTATAACCTTGTTTCTCATCTGTGCGAGACTTCGGTACTTTGATCATGGTACTCCCACGAGAATGCAACTTGGATTTGGTATGAGGCGGGCGGTAAAAAAATGAAGATAGAAAATAATATTTTTTTAAAAATTTTTTTACGCTTACAAGTCGGCGGGCGCGAGAAATTACGCTGAAATAAAATTTTATTTTTATTTCATTTTCGGCTCATGTTCATTTGACGGGTTCGTGGAAAAAGGGATAATAAAAGTCTGGCCCAACTTACAAATTAAACTGACGAGCGCGCGATTTGTTCAGAAGTTACTAGATCGTTGCAAGTCAAGGTAAGTTTTGATAGATATTAGATGATGTGACCTATATTAGGAAAAAATCAATATCTTCTGTCACAGTGGCATATTGGTGGACATTATTTAAACGAAAGTTGTTTAAAACAAAGAAGGTCTCCAATATTTGTCGAAACATTTATTCTCCCTATTCAACAAATTGTAATGGTATAAATTAATTAAATGACAGCTGTTTAAATACATGACTAATTATTCTTTCAATTTAACAACTTGGTAATTAAGTTTTACCACCACGTGTTCACAAGAGGAGTATCATTTATTGAGCTACAATTATCTTTATGGGATGACACAAGTCATAATATCAACATGAACGTGTCTTGGCATTAGGGTTAGGGTGGGGTATGGTATGGTATGGTATGGTATGGTAAGGTATGGTATGGTATGGTATGGTCAACGCAAACCAATAACCAAATTGGTTCGTACCCAAGATTTACACTAACGGATTGTGGCATACATACGGTTTTCACAGCCTTAAAACACCAAATTGGCAGTATCATTGGCAATTATGACTAAATAATTTAAATATGAAGAATATCTTCCTCTCTCTCTCTCTCTCTCTCTCTCTCTCTCTCTCTCTCTCTCTCTCTCTCTCTCTCTCTCTC